ATCATTATATAACTAAATAATGTCATTTAAAATTGTGGCACCCGTGAAGAGCCCCCTCCTCGTGGTGGGTGCTGGGTAACGCTAAGCGCTCTTCGACCCCCCGTTGTGGACCCGGGGGTATATTTGGTCCACCAACCCGTTTGCCGTGGGTTGCGCCCCTGTGTCTGTAGAGGACGGGATTCTGGTGGTTGAGGGCACTGGTTCCAGGAACAGTGTTCCTTTGCCCAACACACCACTTCGCCACTTACTTCACCTAGACCGGGGGTAGAACTGGCCCGTTCTATCAATCGGCTGGTCACGCCAAGTCCTGTGCTACAACTATATAATGTTGCACAAAATTTGAAAATTATTAGATGATATTTTTAAGTCCTGGCAAATAGTTGAACTGAGAATTTCAAGTACGGAATTTCATGTATGTGTTTTACCTAGAGTCGTCTGCCCAGAAGGCGGTGGCTCATGGGCCAATCTGGTGGAATCATTAATCTTTTAATTTTTCTGCTGGTGTATATCATCCGGATATCCTTGGTGCTGCAAGTCGGAGATACGCTTGTTTTTAGCATTGTCCTTGTGATACTCCATGGTGGGTGGGGAGCTCGGATGACGAACCTTGAAAACTTAACCATGGCTTACAAAACCCCCTTGGAAAAAAACAAACGTCCACTGGACACTGATCCAGTTGATAATGGTCAACGACTGTCTATGTAAATTGAATACTGACCACGATTTCTTGTAATTGAAACTGACAAGACACCATTAAGGTTGAACCCTTTTGCCATTTCTAAGTGTATTCAAGGCATTGCCTTTCAACTTAAAAATATTAAACGTTTACGTTCCGGTGGGAAGGGGATCAAACTACCCTCCTTCACTTATACAGATCATTGGTGCGATCTAAACTTGATTATGGCTCGATCGTATATGGCGGAACCTGCAAAAGCAACCTTAAACTACTTGATTCTGTTCACCACCAAGGTCTCAGACTTTGTCTTGGATCATTTAGAACTTCTTCAGTTGATAGTCTCTACGTCTAAACGCCGTATAAAATTATCTTTACAATATATTACCAAACTATATTCTAACGAGTCTAACCCTGTATTTAACTGTGTCTTCAATCATCTTTATGAGGATTTGTATAACAGAAAGTCTTCTCTTGTTCCGCTTCTTGGACACAGAATTAAACCATTCATTGCTGCTGCCGGAATTGAGCTGGAGAATACCTTCTAGTCTTCTTTCTTCTCGTCCTTGGCAATTGGTGAAGCCAAACGTTGACTTAACATTAACCACATTTGAAAAATCCGAAACTAATGATTTAAAGTAAAAACAAGAATTTAGTCAATTAAGAAATAAATATAATACATATATATCCTTATTTACAGATGGATCCAAGGATGGTGACGCGGTGGCTTGTGCCACTGTCATTGGATCGAAAACAATATCTTCTCGACTACCAAATAACAGCTCTATTTTCACAGCAGAAGCTAACGCCATATTAACAGCTCTTCAATATATAAATAAACACCGTAAATATACACAATACATCATCTTTTCCGATTCTCTTTCGTGTCTTCAGGCTATTAAAAATATTTCTTGTAAACATCCACTTGTATTAGAAATTATTGAATTGCATAATGAGCTTGCTACTGGCCAAGGCGACATCGTCTTTTGTTGGTTACACAGCCACGTTGGCATTTCTGGGAATACAATGGCCGATCTTGCTGCTAAGACAGCACTCAACAAATCTGTGCTACCACTTCTTATTCCATACTCTAATTACAAAGCTAGCATTAGAACTTACGTTCGCGATCTGATGCAGAAGAAGTGGGACACACAAGTAGGTATTAATAAATTACATGAAAAAAAAATAATTATCGGTTACACCTACTAGGGTTGTCAGTCCAGATTTGAAGAGGTCACATGTGACGATGTCGTATTGGCCATACAAGGTACACTCACAAATATTTGTTAAAAGGTGAAGATCCTCCGTTTTGTATCCCTCGTGATGAGAGAGTCACAGTCAAGCATCGCCTGCTTGACTGTGTTAAATTTGCCATCATAAGGGATAAATAATTCAATGTTAAAACTGTTAAGGATCTTTTTAATTCTGTTCATCTTCATTTAATTCTTGCTTTTTTAAAAGAAATTGATTTAATGAATGAATTTTGATAAATATGTTCTGTAGATAGACGTGGTTTAATGATTGGTAGTGTAGATTATCAGCTTAGATTGTTAGTGGCTGTATCCTCAAAGGGGTTGAAGTAGCGTAAAATTATTGTCCTCCTGAGAGGGTACGTAAGTCCCCAAAACTGTCAAAGTAAATTTTTCACGTCCTGTGTTTTTAAACGTAGTATTCCTGTCATTTTAATTTGTGGTTAAAGTTTCTTACAATCGCCAACACCTGAAGGGATGATGTAAATCCAGCTAGGGTCCATGCAGGTAGCAAAAGTAATGTAAGTCCCCATGGTTCCTAGTATGGTGATCTACCTTCAGTTGTTGGGGATCTATAGCCCGTTTTTATATTGTATTGTCTTCGTAAATAAAATAGTTTTACATGTTCATGCTAGTTTTAGACTCCATCTGTGATACTCTAGTAATTTTACAGTCCTTCGATGACTGATTATTTAGCAACTTTAATTTATTGTTTATGTAAAACATTTCTCGTCACTATATGGCTGAACTATTGCCGAGGTGACGTTAAATTCTAACTCACTCACTCTCTCACTCAAAGTAAAATGTTCACGTCCTGTGATTTTAAACGTAGTATTCTTGTCATTTTAATTTGTGGCTAAATTTTCATACAATCGCCAACACCTGAAGGGATTGAGTAAATCCAGCTAGGGTCCATGCAGGTAGCAAAAGTAATGTAAGTCCCCATGGTTCCTAGTATGGTGATATACCTTCAGTTGTTGGCGATCTATAGCCCGTTTTCATATTGTATTGGCTTCACTCCATCCGTGATACTCTGGTAATTTAACAGTCCTTCGATGACTGATTATTTAGCAACTTTAATTTATTGTTTATGTAAAACATTTCTCGTCACTATATGGCTGAACTATTGCCGAGGTGACGTTAAATTCTAACTCACTCACTCTCTCACTCAAAGTAAAATGTTCACGTCCTGTGATTTTAAACGTAGTATTCTTGTCATTTTAATTTGTGGCTAAATTTTCATACAATCGCCAACACCTGAAGGGATTGAGTAAATCCAGCTAGGGTCCATGCAGGTAGCAAAAGTAATGTAAGTCCCCATGGTTCCTAGTATGGTGATATACCTTCAGTTGTTGGCGATCTATAGCCCGTTTTCATATTGTATTGGCTTCACTCCATCTGTGATACTCTGGTTATTTAACAGTCCTTCGATGACTGATTATCTAGCAACTTTAATTTATTGTTTATGTAAAACATTTCTCGTCACTATATGGCTGAACTATTGCCGAGGTGACGTTAAATTCTAACTCACTCACTCTCTCACTCAAAGTAAAATGTTCACGTCCTGTGATTTTAAACGTAGTATTCTTGTCATTTTAATTTGTGACTAAATTTTCATACAATCGCCAACACCTGAAGGGATTGAGTAAATCCAGCTAGGGTCCATGCAGGTAGCAAATGTAATGTAAGTCCTCATGGTTCCTAGTATGGTGATCTACCTTCAGTTGTTGGCAGTATATAGCCTGTTTTTACCTTGTAATGCGTCTATAGTTAAACTCTTTTAGCTTTAATTACTAGACGGGCTATAGATCGCCAACAACTGAAGGTAGATCACCATACCAGGGATCTCAAGAATTGAGAAAACAATTTTAAACCACTGTTCTAACGGTACTTAAAATGCCACGATTGTCAAATGTGCAACGTGAACATGCCGTTGTCATGTTGCAAGCGGGAAGAACAGTTATTGACGTCGCAAGAGCAATGGGATGCAGCCGTCGTACTGTGAATGACTTGCGAGGTCGTCTACAACAAACTGGCACCACTTCTGATTGCCCAAGGTCGGGTCAGATTTCTGCCGGCTACACGAACCAGGGCTGAGATGTTTAGAGGTAGACTGTCCTCACAGACCAATCGAAATCGGTTGTTGGATGCCAATCTTCATTCTCGACGGGCCAATATTGACGCCGTTTCATCAACGTCAACGTCTGCGGTGGGCCCAACGTCACCTCCGATGGACCCAGAGAGACTGGAATCGAGTCGTCTTTAGTGATGAATCCAGGTTTACCCTCAGATTCGCGGACGGCAGGCATAGAGTCTGGAGACGACGTCGTGAACGGTATGCCCAATCTTGTGAACAGGAAGTCGACAGATTCGGGGGCGGAAGTTGCATGTTGTGGGGTGCCTTCTGTGGGAACAACCGTTCCCGATCACTGGTCATCCGTGGAAACCTCACAGCTGCTGCTTACCGCGACCAGGTGCTCACCCCTGAACTCGTTCCTTTCATTGCGGCTCATGGCCCAGGTCTACAGTTCCAGCATGATAATGCTCGGCCGCATACCGCGATGTTGACACGAAATGTCCTTCAAAACGCTGGAATCAACGTCATGGACTGGCCATCGAGGTCCCCTGACCTTAATCCAAAAGAGCACGTTTGGGATGCACTTGGGAGAAGGCTTCGTGGTCTTAGGAACCAACCTCAGAATTTGCAGGAACTTGGCGCTGCCTTGCAAGAGCAATGGCGCAGAATCCCCAACCACGTGTTCACAAGCATCAGGCAGTCGATGAGGAGACGGTGTTTGGCAGTGGTGAATGCGTGGGGCGGCCATATACGATATTGAACTGAGAAGTTTCGCATTTTTATTCTTGTGACTTGACACTCTGTATACCCATGTTTTGGAACGGCGGTGTAGCCTAATGAAACTGATTATGGCACTGTCAGTGTATCGAGTACATCACACAGATCTCAGCAATGAAATAAATAACAATTTAACCATCTTACCATCTCTTGTTCTTTTGTAGTGCCCTGAAGAAAGAATGTGAAGTTTCTTGTTTGACTCTGTATATATAGAAGAGTCAATCCTTCAGTGTGTGTTGACGTTTCGTGAGATTACAGTTAGCACTCCTTAAGTATTTGGTGATTATTTCCTTGAGTATCTTTCCAGGTGGTAACAGATAGCTTACCTTGAGTGTGCGTTGGCATCGTTCAAGCATCTCTATAGTTGGGAACCGTTAGCTCACCTTCATTGTCTCTCGAGAACTTCCACTCGAGACGCGTTAACCTACCCTGAATGTACTTTGGTGTCCTTTCCATAGTTTAACGTCTCTTCCATTCTTCAGTTCAACAGCAACTCGTCCACACGTCCCAAGTATTGCTAAACTTAAGTCAGCTCTGGAATCGGAATCTCGTTCCTCCCGGTCTTGACAGTTACCTTGTAAGTCCCATTTTCCCCTGTGGTTTGGAAGGGGGTAAAGCCACTGTTTATCGCTGCTCATTTAGGCAGTCTCATCAATCAGCATCAACCGTCGTCGACAGGTTATTTATCTTTCCATAATTAAGAAGATATTTTAAAATTCTATTCTTTTTAAAATATCAATAAACACACATTTATGAAAATATGCAATACATATATCTCATCACGTGTATGTCCCTGTCAATTTAATACATATTCACACTATAGTTCAATGTCAAACATCACGATGTACAGACGGTACAGAACTGAAAGCTGGTGACACACACGTTTGGTTTTGAACTTCGTCATAGGATTTTTAACTTGTATAAAATGCAAATATAAAATGAAGAGCTTTGACCCAAATGCGACACAGAAGCTATAATGACACCCGTGCAAAGAGACAATCCCACGTGGAGCAAACACGCATGTATATACAAAGGGAAAACATTCACAACTAGACCAGCAACTGAGTGAGATAAACTGCCCTTGTGAAATCAGAAAGATCACAGTCACTACCATGGCCTGTCGACACCACCCGCGTTTATCAGTTCTAGATTGTTTAACAGGTATGGTGTTTCCTAGTTTTTATGACTGGGACAGTAATTATATTGTAGGCTATTGGGCTCACTGTCGACTGTAACAACATTTCAGACATGAAATCAGTGATGCACTGTCATCCATTCGGGAAGCTGATTACTTAAATGAGATGTTAGTATTTCAACATAAAGCAGATTATTGTTTTGAAAATATATCTGTGACATATAAACCTATGTTTCAAAATATATGTTGACTAGACGATATAAATTTACTACCGGTGTTTCCCTGTCTTAGGTGTTACACCATACTTATGATAAAAAACTCAGACAGTTCAGGAAAAAGTTCTTTTTTCTTCTTCTTCTTTTGCTTAACGTCCCACTTAGCAAGATTCCAGCTATATAACGGCCAACTGAGAAATGCTCGACTCTTGAGATCAACAGCATGGGCATCGGTGTATGCAGTTGGGATTCCAAGTCAGCGAGTCTGAACTCCCGGTCCCAATCTCGACTCTTAAGACTAGCATGTGTTGAGGAAGACTCATTCTACCCCAGATCTTCACCGGTTAAATAAAAAACAACAAAGGACATCCGTTGGTACTTAATCGGCAAGACCCTTCTGCAGCTCAACAATGTGAACTTGTGGCCAAATGTATTGTTTGGTTAAGGTAATATACACAACTAAAACTAAGTTCAATGTGATACCACATCCGTCATGCTGTTGTGTTTCCGACCAGCATGCTTAATTAGAAACAAACCGTCCCCTTCCTTAAAATAAATGTTTTATATTGATGTGTGAAAACATTATTAAGTTATGTGTGATCTCTGGCTGTACTCGTAATTTCTCGGAATGTGCCAAGCATTTACGAGGATACTTACATGGGCATCTCTTCATGCATGTTTGTTGGTACATCACGTCTCCAGCTGTTCTGTCGTTTCGCCCATCGTCACATACTTCAAGAGAATGTAAACAGAGACTAGAGCAGACATAACAATGAACATTGGGTAGCAGAATGTGTCTGTAGCATCCTACATGCACTGTAAGAGGCGAGTACATAGACGGACACACATACACAAACACGCACACACACACACACACACACACATACACCCACCCACATAAAAAACTAATCTGAGTACAGTAAGCATCTACTTACGATCATCACTGTAACCCCGACATCGTTTGCTGTGTCTGCTGTACACAAAATACAGACATTTCCCGTGTGTGCCACAGGTCACGCCACATGAAACCAGGTTATGTTCAAGAACAGAGTATAATGGTTCCTTTGTCTCCTCGCTCTTGTCATTTTTGCAACTATACATGTGAGACGTTACATAACCATTGCCACGAACGTAAACTGTCCAAACGACGCACATATACCAAATATTGCCAGCAGATAGGAACGTCATCCTTGTAAACTACAAAGTAGGAATATTGTTAGTACAATGAGTTTTTTTTCTCCAACATGTTTCGCGAAATGAATCTACCTAAATGAAATTTGATATTCCCATTTAAAAGTGATTTGGTGGAAAAGGTATCAAATGTCAAGACATGAATGTCCATTGTTCAGTCAAATGGAGTTCTTTGACTATCGATATATCTGTAAGCCTATGCAGTTTCTAAAACAAAAACCTGAACAAGACTAGGCTTCCTAGTTGTGAATTCTATTTGTGTGGACTTATCAGTCAGTTGTCAGAGCTTCAGCAAAACAACGGATAGAATGTCGCGTAGCATGTGTTATTAATAGTGAGTGAGTGTGTGAGTGAGTGAGTTAATATATAGTGAAATCTATACAATACTTCATCCATATCGAGAGGAGACCAATTAATATATTAATATACTGTACGCTTTTCAAAACCAAATGCAGAACTTTCTTCTCACAAGGTGGTGTTTTTATTATGATTGTACCGTTTTGTTAACATGTTTTTCAATCCAAATTGACAGTTATTACCAACATCAGTGTGTTTTCTGATGAAAAAGCATATCGACAAAACGCACTGAAAAAGGCAGACATGGTGAAAGGCTCCGTATGACATTCGTGAAAATGAAAATGCACGCGCATGTCGTGACAACCTTTCAATGAAAGCGAGTCCTAAACTCGCCTGAAATCAATTTTGTTTTGACACAATCACCATGCCATAATGACATCGGGCTATAGATCACCAGCAAATGAAGAAAGATCCCCATACTAGTGACCATTGGGACTTACAGTATGTTTGCTACCTGCATGGACTAAAGAAGAAAATTGTAGTCAGATTCAACCATAATTAAAATGACGAAAATGCTGCATTTATAGTGAGTGAGCTAAGATTTAAAGTCACATCGGCAATGTTTCAGCCATATCGTGACTAAAACTAGTTCTAAATTCATAATACATACATATAATATATACAAGCCTGTCAACGAAGGACAGTAAAACCACTAGCTTATCACAGATTGAGTTAAAACTAGCTAGCATATATCTTTTAAAGTAGAACAATTATTTCTGGACAATACAATGTAAAATGAGCTATAGATCGCCAACAACTGCTGCATTTATAAAAGCTGGTAACTTTAAATTTCCATTGAATGTTTCGGGGCTTACGTACCCTCTCCGGTTGACAATAATTTTACTATAATTTAACCCCTTTAGAGGATACAGTCACTAACAATCTCAGTTACTAATTTAAATGTTCATTCATAAAAAATATATCTGTCTACAATACATTACAATAAAGATGTTCAATTAGTTCTATTTGTTTTTAAAAATCGATAGTGAAATGGTAATTTCAATTACTAAAAAGATACTTTGCTGTTTTTGCGCTGAAATAATTATCCCTTAATCAATACAGTCAGTCAATTTATGTTTGCACTTAAAAGACCAAAGGCCTATAGTACATGTATACAGACAATGTTATTAGGCAGTAGGGGTACACTTTTTCTTCTTTGTGGCATGTTATAGATACACTGACATGTTTTCTATATGTTTCGTACTAGAACAGGTACGACAACGACAGGTAGACACAACGACAATGATATTCATCTTCAATTAGAATCAAATCACACCTTTACATATTCTATCTATCTCTGTATTCCAATATAGCTACCTGTTTCTACTAACAAATCATGGGATCAGCAATGGAATTTTGTAAGCGTGATTCTATATTTCCGAACATTCAAAGATGAGTAATAGGTCTCATTGTATAATTGGCCAAGCCAACTCTGGATACATACATATATATTGTACCTTTGTTCAATGGATATGAGAAATTTTGGATGCGAGGCTGTGTACTGTTAGACATACAGTGTACTCTGTCAATACCGGCATCATTGGGACCAAATTAAAATGCCGGTTTTGACAGAGTACCGGTTTAGCTAGGTTCAGCCCCCATCAAGATATCCATCCCCTACATTGGCAAACCATCACATCAAATCAGCCGTCTACTAAAACAACAAAGCTGCCATAGATACCACCTTCTCCGCGTCCTCCAACTTAACAGCATTCTCAATGCCAACGGAAGAAAACCCGCCACCGTAAAGAACAACAACCCTAAATGTGTCATCTACAAAATAAACTGTGATTGTGGGCAGAGCTACATAGGCGAAACTTACCGACCCATCAACACCCGAGTGAAAGAACATCAGACCTCTGTTACCAATTCCGACAGCAAATAAGCCATCTCCGACCACATCAAAGCAAGCCCCAATCATCAAATAGAGTGGTCTGACATCACCATTCTCGCTAACAAACAAACAGACTTCACTAAACGCAAGCTCACCGAAGCCATCCACATCAAACGCCAAAAGCCCACCATCAACAGAGACCAAGGATACTTCATTCCATCCGCTTATGATGCACTCATCCACCAAGCCCAACCTACTGTATAGACTCTGCTGTATAAACATACCATTATTATTTGTACATCATTGGCTTCTCCGCCTGTCCTTTGTCTTCTCTCTGGCTTCATCAGCTTTCTGCCTAGCCAATTATGTTAATTATATTGTTTTCTTTGTTACATTGTTACATACAGTATATATACACTTTCCCCCTCTTCATGTTCCATTATGCTTGACAACGGTACAAGAATCTGTATCGAAACGTCGCACTCACCAATAAAAAGAAGTTGTTATCCATAAAGTTTGTCCTATACTGAGTATAGTATATGACGTGGTGTCACCATCGTGTTACCATTGATTCCAATGTCGTATTGGTCAGTTGCAAGATCATTATATAACTAAATAATATCATTTAAAAGTGTATGCTTACAAGAAAGGTTTTTGATAGCCTTAAGGCATGGGAGGGAGTATGAAAATAGGATATTCTAATATGGCGTTAGCTTCTGCTGTAAAAATAGATCTGTTAACCGGTATTCTAGACGATATTGTTGTCATCGCACACTTAATGCAAGGTAAATGTACAGTAGTAAGAAGCTAAAGAGGACAATGTTACACTTAATGAAAGTCCAAAGACAAATGTGTCGGGATGAGGTCTTGACAAATAACTACCATGTTCATATAGTATAGTGAGTTTTGTACAATGGGCACTGTATTTGACGAACTTCGATATTATGGAAACGGTATTGATAGTATAGTGAGTTATGTACAATGGGCACTGTATTTGACGAACTTCGATATTATGGAAACGGTATTGATAGTATAGTGAGTTTTGTACAATGGGCACTGTATTTGACGAACATCGATATTATGGAAACGGTATGTATAGTATAGTGAGTTTTGTACAATGGGCACTGTATTTGACTAACATCGATATTATGGAAACGGTATTTATTTATTTGAGCTCAATACTGCAATGACTCAAAGAAGTAAATAATGTTCCTTGTCCATTTCAACAAATGTTTTCTTTCTGCTTGTTGACGATTCTGTCTGTGGACTGAAAGCCATTGGTCTTGCATTTTCTAATCGCTGCCATAAGGATGAGTGGTTCGTTGCATACGTGAGTTAAAAAAGCATTAAACATCGTATCAGCAGACCGGTGAAGATCCGGGTTAGAATTGGTCTTCAGCAACCCATGCCTGTCGTAAGAGGCGACTAAGGGGATCGGTTGGTCAGGCTCGCTGACTTGGTTGACACATGTCATATGTTCCCAATTGCGCAGATCGATGCTCATGCTGTCGATCACTGGAATGCCTGGTCCAGCCCCGATTATTTACTGACCGCCGCCATATAGCTGGAATATTGCTGAGTGTGGCGTATACTCACTCACTCGTATCAGCAGTATCCTAGTTGTATAGCGACGAGGAGGTACAATATTTATATATATACATATACATGACTCTTCCTACAGAAAATTGTTATTAAGTAAAGTGAGCCATGACTGTGAGGCTAAATGAGTATTGTGCTACCGCACATTGCCTGACCCATGTGTATGAAGGACTATGCACCTCAGTGGGAGCGAAGTGGCATTGAAACCCACCATCTTGAACCCTTTGTGCCGCCAATATTTGGGATACTTGTTTCACAGACTCAAACTGAATTTGAGCTATTGCAGCAGTAAAGATGTTTATAGGTTTCAACTAATGCAGAGGACATCGAAACAGTGGCCGAAGGTGTAAGTTTAAACAGACCAAGACGTGTTGCTCGCTCCGTTGGTATAGTACTTGTTGTTGAGTTCGGTGTTTTTGTGGTGTTCAGGTGAGATGAAATTGGGTTTTAACGTAGTGCTTGAGAATATTTCGCTCATTTGACGACGTGCATGCGTGTGTATGTGTATATGCGGCTGCTTGTACTAGCCCAGACTTAAACTGGATTTATAGTGCTAGCCCACTGAGATACCATGCCGCAGTGAAGCATGAATACCCCACTCAGACTCCGAGCCGACCAGTCCTTGTTGCAATCGAGAGAGATTACATCTGTGGCTGGACTTTTCTAATATTGACTCAAGGCATTCATGCTGAGGTCGATATGGTGATCTTTTAATGAATGAATGGCCATGATCATTTTAACTTATTCATGGTTGTGTGTATGACTGACTCTGGTCCAACCAAATCAGTGGCTGAAAAACCACCGGTTTGTTG